TACTAATTAATTATTTTTTATTTATTTAACTTACGTATGAAGTGCCATAACACACGTGTAACATTCTTTTTCTTTAGTGGCATGTAGGTAAGGGTCGCGCTTCTCTCATTGTATGAAATACGTAAGTACCTACAAATTTTACCTCTTTGAGTACCGTCATTATAGACACAACAGAACAATAGGTTGCGCTCACCGGTGACCGCGCGGTGTTTGACAGTTAAGTACGTTGCTTTACAACTTTTAAAATAATGTTTGTAGTAAACACTACATTATAATAAAATGTTTATCTAAAAACAAATTAATTCTAATGGCAGCTACCGTTCAATTATTGTAAACCATTTTTGTGCTCGTTATAGACGGTATTTTATTATTTGGCGCGCAACGCCATCTCTTATTGATCGCCGTAACTAATTTACGTGGGTAAAATGACTAGTTCTACTCTAGTAGTGTTTGTAATAGTTTTGACTGTATAAATACGTAATTAGAAATTAGACTGTACAAATAATTGCTCAGGGCAACAGATTTTCAGTGAGTTAACTGCAAACCCTCGCTTGCCAAGCATAGAAACTACTTATGGCTAACCAACTCTAAACTCTTGTTCAGTTGTGGTGTGGATGCATTCTAATTTCCGACTGATGAGGTGGATCTAAGATGTATTTAGAAAATAACGTTAAATCTTCCAAACAAAATATAAACCCTTGTTACACGAAATAAACATAGGTACACCTAAGCTACCTACAACGGTACTCCTACATAGGTATAAAATCAATACCTAAACAATGTTCTAGCATTTTGTTAGTATTTTCACCGCCACAGCTATATACGGCAATGGCGCCGCCACATAGTGGAGAAGGAAATAATAAACACCGTATTAGTACAGATAACAAATCACGCAGCGATCGCTGACTGAATAGAAATCGTATCAAATGAGAGGACGCGATACGATCACGTACGAACGCATCCGGGCTGTTCGCGCTCCGGATTTTTTTTTTTTTTAGGGACGTTTCGCGCCAACCGGCATCCCTCTGAAAAGGTCAAATCCTCTTCCGTGCTATATTCACTTTTAGGTACCTTAGAAATTCTAGATGAGAATAGGTACGTATATTTCGTTATTTTAATACTAACCTCGTAGACTGCCTCGTTAGCCGAGTGCCGCAATTGCGACTGCCGGGTAAGGGGTCTCGGGTTTGATTCCCGGGTCGGGCAAAGTATTACTAGGTTTTTAAAATATTCTCAGTAGTAGCACGGAGTCCGGAACTGTGCCCGGTATATGGCAATAGGCTCACCCCCTATTACATGGGACTCATAACATAAATAGTGAAAAGTGGGTGTTACATTGTACAGTGGTATAATGTGCACCTCTGCCTACCCCTTCGAGGATAAAAGGCGTGATGTTATGTTTAATACTAAGGTCTTGTATTGAATAGGGCGCAAACCACCACAGACAGACCCATTGCTGGCATCCTAAGTGATTAGATACTAAGAGCAGACTGATCAGGATCAGCTAATGATAATAAGCAATAGGAGCCGCCCATCGATACTCGAAAAACCCGTTACAATTAAGTACGTTGCCACAATTTAGGAGGTTACGGTTTTGAGGATTGAGGACGTTTGAGAGGGATTGGAGCTCGGCACTGTTACCAACCCTACTGTTTTAACAGTAGATTTGCTGTTTTTGCTTTGATGTCCATGTTTTCTGTTTCATTCTTATTTTCTACTGTTTTCTTTCTACCAAAACAAAATTCCCGATACGATCGATTTTTGAAACATGGACAAGAATTAAAGTATGGAGGAGACTCTCAAACGTTCCTTACGTTGTGTGATTTACATCGTAAAAAAGCTTTTGTGCCTACCACAGTAGGACCACATAGCAGTGCCTTCGTAGAAAGGTTATTTTCTGCTATAAATATTACGAAAACCAAATTACCTACGTATCAGAACATCGACTACAACTATTAAAGGACAAAATCCGAAATAACCGATTGCTATTCATTGAATGTGAGTTCAGACACTTAAACAATTATATTCATTACTTAATTATATTACCAAAAATATGAAATGAGCGCTTTTTTCTTTACCTACTGCTTTCTACTGTTTTTTTTTAAGTGAGTTGTTGTTTTTTTGTTTTTTGGGGTTGGCAACACTGGAGCTCGGTAACCTCATTCACACGCCGAAACACAACGGCAAGCGTCGTTTCACCTCGATACGGAGCTGCGGAAGACCTAACGGGTTGCCTGGGCTACGGCTCGAAGAGCAGGAGTAGGAACGGGGTGGTTTTTAATCAGTAAAAGTCTGACACTCCCTCTCGCCAACCCAAGGCGGGAGAAGTCATTGGATGATTTTCCTCTCAAAAAAAAGCGTTGTTTAACACTGATTTTCGTTTTAGACTGTGGTACTTATCACTCCAATCGAGACTATTCGTGCGTGGCGAAGCATGACTCTTGCAGACTGGACAAGCTTTTCGAGTTCTTAAGGGAGTAAAACACTGCGAATTTTGAACTGAGATTTTATTCAATGCGGAGTCGAACCCTCTATAAATTTAGATAAATAAAGCTGTAGCAACCACTTTTTTTTTTTAAGGGTGTATAATCATCGAATGACTGCTCCCGCCTGGGTGAGGCGGAAGGGAGTGTCAGACTCTTACTGACTAAAAACCACCCCGTTCCTTCTCCTGCACGTCGAGCCGGAGCCCCGGTTACCCGTTAGGTTCTCCGCGACGTAGCAACCACTTGGTTCGCGCGTGTGTTGTGTAACTTGTGTAGCTTGTGTACCAGTAGGTACTTACAAGAACCCTAACGAACATAGAACACTGTTCGTCAAACATGTTTGCGGCCAACCTATTTGTACCTATGTTACGGCGTTGGTACGTAGATAGGTATAATACGAATAACTTGAAAAACAAAACTGTTCTTATTACTATAGAAAAGGTAAGGTACAGGTAGGGCAGTAGAGAAGTAACTTTAACCAACGCGGTTATTTTGATTACAACTTTTTAAACAAAACTTTTTCGCACCGTCTAACAATTAATAGGTACTTATCTTGTGATTTTAAAATCGATCACTTCGAACGGAGTTACCATGGTTACAAACACGAACATAGTGAATACACACAAACATTTAAACATGTACATATCGGTTAGTACGATATAATCGAATACAAACGTGAACTTAGCTCCAATCGAGTTAGCACAGAATACCTACACATAAACACTTAACTCAAAACGATAAAAGCGGTATTATTATCCATTTACGGATTACAGAGACAAGAATAGTACAATAAGTACTTACCAATCAACAGTTAATTATCTTCAAAATACACAAATAGGTTCACACATAGACACCACAATTCAAAAGTTTAAAACAATAACAAATCGTCGTTTTTCGTTTTTGGCGCTGATGACAAGTGACAATAAAAATTGACAGTGACAGTTGACAAATTCGGATGATTTTCTTGAAATATCATTATAATATTGCCATAGTCGAATGATTTTAGTGGGGCATCATAATAATATGTTTGCTTACCAGGTGACGCCAGTGTCAACCTCTCGTTTTTTTTTTTTTTCGAGAATAGGGAATCTGCTAGTGGCACACCACACCAATAAAAATAATTATTATTTTGTTTAAATTAGAAAAAAAAAATAGCTTAATCTTTAATAAGTCCTCCAGTGGTCAGACGAAAATATTTTTAAATGTAAAACACTTGCATTACTGCGTCTAAGTACCTGTGTAAAAAAATCAACGAAAATAATTCAGTCCAAAAAAGCCTTTAGGTTATTACCTAGAGAATCCTATGAGAATCTTATTAGATTTTTTTATTAGGTACTATTAATATTTTATTCAACAGCCGAACTGGTTGCGGTTTCGTACTGAATGCCAATGTTAAATGCAAAATTCGGTGATCAATGAATATTTATCGCGGTCCAAGGCCAAGCTGGTAAGTTGCTGGTATATCGATTGAGACTTTCACGGATAAGGTAGATAGAAACAACCTACCCACTTACCCATTTAGTTAAATTTTCAACAAAATAAGTATAATCGCTGCTCGTTTCATAGATGACAGGTGCAATGAAATAAAGATGCCGAAACACTATACCCCTTCATACTGATTACAGTAAAATGTCAAAAAAAGACATTTTACCTACCAAATGTAGTTACTATTTTATATTAATAAAACGACATATTTACCTATTTAAATGGTCAAATAATATAAGTATAGTCAACAACATTAGACTCTATTATTGCATAGGTACAATTTACAAAAGTTGAGACCACAGTTGAGACGAAGATTAAGTCTCATTTAAAATAATAATTAAGCTATTAGGGCATTATTAGTTTTTTTTATAGAATAGGATAGTAGAGAATAATAATAATATACAATTATACATTATCCAAATTAATAAAAATGAGAAGAAGTGAAATGATAAATTCATTGAGCGTTTAAAGTGATAAATTGAACGCATCATTAACAAAGTGTGACCAGTACTGAAAAATATTGAATCTGTCATCTAAAATAAAAATTGACCAATCAATACGCAGGCTACGTTCCAGGTATAACTTCGTTGGCATTACAAGCATAAAAAGTAAATTCAAAAAGGGCAGCAAGATTATAGAGTTGAGACATTATTAACGTGCAAACTGTCTTGTCAAAGGAATGTCACAATGCCCCACAATTCGCATAAATGTGAGCGAGAGCTCTGATAAAAATGACTTATAATAATTAGTACGTTTGTAATGGCCCAACTTAGATGACTTATCATGTTTGGAACCAGCGCAGCTTGTTATGGCCACTTACGCCTGCAATATTTTTAGATTATTTATTTTGTTTCTTCTACTTATTATAAAAAATATTTAATGCTTAAAATGTGTATAACCCAATAAGATATCTTGAGTACTATCAAAATTTACGACTGGTAACACCAAATTTGACATTTCTTTAATCGAGCACTTCGCTCAGCGAAAATATCAAAGCAATTTTGTTGCGTATATCTGCTGTGATACAAAATGACTTCGGTCACAAGGGCTGGGCATTTAGCTCCTTACTTTAAGGCGACCTCATCGGTGGTTTCCAATGGCCTGAAGCCTCTGGTAGTGGCGCACACGCCAGCAGAGAAGGTGTTGGTGCACCCTTTGCCAAAAACCTCCACTGTCGAGTCTCTGCATGGATCCTTGCCTATCCAGGGCTTGAAGGCTAGAGTCAATGGTCGCGGTAAGCTATTTTCGCTATGATTTTGTGTTATAGTGGAATATATTTCGTAAATTATGAGGAAAAATCGTGTTACATAACACCTTGTCAATTCTAGGACCAAGTCATGTTCGTTTCGCGCATACCGATATTCAGTATCCCGACTTCTCGGCATACCGCCGCAAGGAGACCCAGGATCCGACCGCGAAGAGCGCTGAAAATGTTGATGGACGCCAGTCCTTCACGTATCTCATCGCTGGAGGTAAGTCCTTGAAAATTTTTAATCATCTGTTAACCACACACTGCAGTGGAATATGTTAACTCTGTTGACATATCTATTATTAATGTAGTACTTTTGAGCATCTGAAAATATTGATAAAAGTAGTCTTATGTAAACAAAAGATGAATTAATGTTTTACTCAATAATTATTTATAGTATTTGACATTAACCTTCAAATGTCAGGGTAACCATTGCTAGTTTACAGTTATGCTCAAAGTTTATTAGGTGTAACTATGCCCAAATACTGAAAGGCTATTCAATATTAAGTCATACTTATATATTGTGCCTTCTCTGTCATTTTACAAAGGTTTTGCAGTGACAGAACTATACTTTAGTGCCTAAAATTAAGTGTTGTATAAGTATTTAGACAAAAAAAACTTGCTTCTTAAACTTTTCCGTACAACTTTATAATCACTAAAAACATTTTTATACTTTTATCATAGATAAGCTGCAAAATGCATATAAGTATTAGCTGCCCTCTTATTTCAGCTGCATACTCAAGACTTTTAAAATTATGTTTTTGCACACTATTCCACTGGATTGAATTAAGTTTTTTATTTTAAAGAAGCGTACATATTGTGCCATGTAAATTACTTATCCAGCATAGTCTCATTGGGAGTACAATAGATTCCATGAAGCATTCCCAGCAATCCCATGAAGAATGGTAAAATAGTATGTATAAGATGACATTGTACACTACAGTCAAAACCGTTTATAACGACATCAAAGGGACCGATTAATTATGATTGTTATAACCAATAATCGCTATAACCAATATCTTGATGCTTCATAAGACTATAGACTGGACCTCAAAATTTTGTTGTTGTACCCGATTCATTGTTATAAACGATGTTGTTGTAAGCGGTTTTGACTGTATTTTAATTTTGTCCAAATCTAAATTTTTATCCTGACATTCGCTGGAATGTCAAATATCAGAGAAAAACATCTATTGAACTAAATTGAAATTATTTCTTTTAGAATTCTTGCTCTAAACAGTATATTTGTAACAATTCACAGCCGGTGGTGTAGCTGGTGCATACGCTGCCAAGTCGATAGTGACACACTTTGTGTCATCGATGGCTGCCGCTGCCGACGTCTTGGCTTTGGCCAAGATTGAGATCAAGCTGTCTGAAATCCCCGAGGGCAAGTCCGTTACCTTCAAGTGGCGTGGTAAGCCACTGTTCATCCGTCACAGGTGAGACAAATTTAGGTGTTTTATGTATTTTAGTCTGTGAATGCTGAACCTTTTGTTGCTTAATTAATGTATTATTAATAAAATCACCATCCGTAGACTGGGCACAATGCCAAATCAAATGACAAAAGAAATACCATTTTACAATATTATTTGCATGGAATTATACTCAAGATCCAAGAGTCCAATAAAACTGTCTGGCTAATGCTTTATTCTATCAAAAAAGGGATTTATCAAGTACTTATTATTTATTAACATTGTTTTGACATGGGTCTCAGCATGGTGTTATTTAAATAAAATTGTCACTAACACAATTCTGAGCAGCCCTCCATGGTCCATTACTGGACTATGGGCCTCATATAAAAAAGTTTGCCGGAACCTCCATGCTCGGCAAGCAAGTTAGATGTCATAGTTTATAATGTTTAGGTTTGTCAGAGTGCATGGTTTGCTGGCCAACTGTGCGGTAGCACAGTCCCTGTCAAATATTTAATTTCTTTAGTTGATAATAAGATGTTTTATTAAATTTTTTTAAGGAGTATTGTCTCTTAGAGATCGCATGACCCATTGCGGGATAAATTACATTTACTTACAAAAATTATACTTATCAGTAATGTGTATAACATTTTTGCATTATCAGAAATTAAGACAACATCAATCATTTGTTTATTTATTATTTAAAAAAAAAACTTCTAGAAATTAAATTCCTAAAATAACTCGAGTAACTTTCTATTTTCCATTGCCAAGTTATGACATGCTTCTCTTCCCTTTGTTAGCTAATTGCGCATCGGCAATTAAGGTATGCATGACGTATGCAATTCGTCTCAAAGAAAATAGGTATTCTATATACTTATAATAGTACACTATACTATAGGTAATTATAGTATTGTTAATTTTATGTATAGGGATAGATTCCCGGCGCAAAAAGTTTCTTATCAGTATTTACTTAATTGAATAAAGTACTGTTCTTACAGACTGAACCTGTTGTACTGTTTTCAGCCATGATTTTAGTGAATTTAATCCCCAACAGTATATTATTTCTAATAATAACAGGATTGACCTGAATTTAAAATGTACCCAATGTGTAAATGTAAAAATTCACCTTTGTCGCGGAGAACGTAAAGGATAACCGGGACTCTGGCTCGACGTGCAGGAGAAGGAACGGGGTGGTTTTTAGTCAGTAAGAGTCTGACACTCCCGCCTCACCCAGGCGGGAGCAGTCGTTCGATGAATTCCCTCCTTGAAAAAAAAATACCCTAGATTCACCCGAATTTGAAATGACACTTCACGACAAGATAAACAAAATGGTATACCTAATAGACATAGCAATCCCCAACACACGTAATCCCAGTTCCACCTAACAACTTCACCATTGAGCTCAATACCCAGTGGCAAGTCAAAACAGTCCCTATCATTATATTATCTAGTACAGGCGTCATCCCCAAAACACTTCAAACACGTTAAAAGTCCCTTGACTTACATCATCTTATGTTTACACTTCTACAAAATGCTGTCGCACTCAACACATGCCGAATTGTTAGGAAGTTTTTATCCATAAATAAATTTATTAATATCATTATCTCCTAGGTTGGTTTGGCCACAAGCCTGCAACTTCCCCAGAAATGAGTGAGGTTCCTACCTAAAACACAAAAATAATAATAATATTAACATAATAATATAATCTAATCTTTTTCTATGCTGCCTATAATGTGGCTGATGCTATCAGCATCATAATTTTAAACATAAGATGATGTTTGTAATAATGATAATAAATAAAAATATAAACTGGGTTGTTTGTATTGTTACTGCGCCATAATTATTATTGTTGTAATAATCTGTTATTTTTTTAGATTGAAGTCAAAATCAAATCATTTCTTTCTTTTTTTTATTATCTATGGTTTTAGGGACTTTTTGTTTAGGAACATGTCAGCCCCGTTAGGACATATTTTCTTACATCTAACATGCTTTAACATTAACTAAATTGGTCAAAGTATCACTGATGCATAAAGATCTTATATAGGGCAATGGCTGCAGATGAAGTGGGATTCGCTAGAATAGATGAAAAACAACCAACAGCTAACGCATTCAATTTAAATTCACGTATCAGTGATTCGCAGGCTCCAACATATTTGCTACATTCTACTATCATGTGTTGGACATCATCAATAATACCACTTATTTCACTATTTGGGGAATCTTGCTTTTTCATTAAAAAGCAAATTTTTTGATGGATGATGTCCTGAACGTAATCATTTTTTTCAATTAGACCTGTAGAATGCACTTAAAAGATAAAAGTATTCCTCTGCCAGTCAGTCTCCCAGTAAAGCCATTTCCTCATTCAAAAATGCGGTAGGGTGCTATGGAGATGAACAATCAAGAAACTCCATAGAAAACTCAATCTCAAGAATATAGTACTTAATTTTTTGGCATAATGCTGCAGTAACATAAAAATCCATTTCATTGTACTGTGCTTATCTACTTTATTAGGAAGAAAGAGAACCTTTTTTTCTGTTAACATAATTATATAATTCATCACAATTACGCCTATTTTTGGTATTATACTCTCAATCTATTTGTGCTATAACCACAACATTATCGTTACAGAACCGCAAACGAGATTTCAACTGAGCAGGCGGTGCCCGTGGACACTCTGCGTGACCCTCAGCACGACAACCAGCGCACACAGGACCCCAAGTGGCTGGTAGTTATCGGAGTATGCACCCATCTTGGTTGCGTACCCGTCGCTAACGCTGGAGACTTCGGTGGCTACTACTGTCCCTGCCACGGATCCCACTACGACGCTTCAGGCCGTATCCGCAAGGGACCCGCTCCCCTTAACCTCGAAGTCCCCCCACACAGCTTCGTCGACGAGAGCCTGCTAGTCGTAGGTTAAACGACGTTATTTATTAGAAAATTTATTTATAATAAGTATACCGATTGAAATCAATAGACGTCAACTTAACACAATAAAATGTGATTACTGTTATATTGTTTTTTATTTGCGTTTAACTTTACACTCAAGTTTGTCATATTATAATGATCATGGTTCACTGTAATAGAGTAGACGCAATGGCTAGAAGCCAAAAATATTACCTAGCTGATTAACATAACATCACGCCTTTTATCCCCGAAGGGGTAGGAAGAGGTGCACATTATGGCACCTAATGCCACTACAATGTAACACCCACTTTACACTATTTATGTTATGAGTCTCATGTAATAGGGGGTGAGCCTATTGCCGTATACCGGGCACATTTCTAGACTCCGTGCTACTACTGAGATTTTTAACCTTTTGAACGCCAGAGCAAAAACGCATGAACTTGCCCTCAACGCCAGGCCACAAATTCACCGCAAATACCTACGAAAAAAATAGGGATTCCAAAACTTCATCGATAATCAATTTTATTTTCATTTTCGTCTTTAATTTCGAAATATAATGTCCTTATAACATTGAAATTTAATTCAACATTACATTTCTTCCTATTAAAGTGATAGTTATACACTATTTACAGACTTGTATAATACCGTAATAACAGATATGAGACTACAATATATTTAAATATAATAACTGTAGGTACAACACTATTCTTGATCTGCTGTCTTCATATTGTGACCATGGCGTGGACGGCCCGCCATTTTAATAACTACTTCGCCTCCGAAATAAGGATGTGGCAACGTAATATCTCGTTTATCGATGTTCTAGTACAATATTATTTTATAATAAATGAAACACGTTTTTTAAATCAGATTTATAATTCCGAATGTAACAGGTACTTAAAAATATATGATTGAAATAGGTTAAGAAGGTAAATAAAAACTATGAAAAAATAGATAATTTTAATAAAATGTTATACAGTATGTACTATGTATACATGTTTTTAAATATTAAGTTCTATAAACCTGGCATAAAAAGTAACAAATTAAAACAATTAACGATTATATATAATTATCACAATTACCAATCAGTCTTATACTAATAAATCTTTTGAATAATAGAACAAAATTATACAAAATCTACAATGCAACCTGCATTCTGATCATCTAATTCGCTGGGTGCAAAGTGGGTGGTGGGGACAGTGAAATCGATCTCAGCGCGCACCGTGGCTAAAAAAGGAACTTTTGGCAGACTTTATTCCACGAAGTTATAGGTAAATATGGAGCCCACACTTAGAATAAAAGTTTCGAGTCAAATACTCTCGCTCCTATTCTCTGAGGCAAACTGAGGTCTGATCTCTTTTTCTAGTGTACTACAGAAATTGAAACAAACTGACCTCAGACAGTAGAAGAGAAATAAAAATTCAAGTAGGTAGGTATTTCAAGTGTGTACTGTGTACTCCATCTTTACCTACACCTTCATGCTTTATTCACTGCTTACTCCTCGTAAAGACAATGACATTCTAATATGCGAAGAAGTTCTTCCGTAGTCATTAAATTCCCACTCATTATAATAGTCACTTAATATAAATCTTGAACTCGATATCACAAGTAAATTAATCATAAATATTATTAATTCACTTCACTAATTTCTGGTCGCCGCGCTTGTGACGTCACGATATTGTCGTCTAGTTGTGACCATGGCGTACAGGGTACTGATAATTCGGGTTGCGTTAGGGATGCGCTTGAGTTGGGATTAGTGAATATCGAAATTCGACCCAACCAAATTTTTTTTTGACTATGTAGCTTATTGAATGATTTTTAAGATGGTTTTATAAAATTAATGCTGCTTTATCCTAGTACCAAATTATACCTAAAATAATATATTCCAGAGGAAAGTTTCGAATCGATCTTTGATTTGAAATAATGATATTATCCAACATGCGCTACATCACTAGCGGTCACGCAGTTATGACTCTGGCGTGTGAGGACATTCTTTTTTCAGAGTTTATTTCTTTCTTTTTAACGTAAAATTTCTCAATATTTATAATGCAATTTAATTAGTTTTATGGAAATAAATAAATTTTGGACCTTCTATTTTACAGGTATATAAATAAATAGGCATTAAAGTAATGTTTAAATAGTTTATTTCGTGTTTTAATGTACCGCTGTTTTTGTCACATATTTGTGTCGTTGGCGCTCAGGGACAGTTTTCGCTTGTCACGTATTTGTGACCCTGGCGCTCAAAAGGTTAAAAACCCAGTAATACTTTGCCCGACCCGGGAATCGAACCCGAGACGCCTTGCCGGCAGTCGCACTTGCAACCACTCGGCCAACGAGGCAGTCACTGTACCGAGCTGATTATGGACGATCAATATGCAGTCTCTCCATATCAGGGACTGATATTAATTTTACTTATTATGAACCAAAAACAATTATCTAAAACATACCAATTCAAATTTTTTTCGAACCCAAAGTTTTAATAAGCACAACTTCTTTTTCACTCTCTTGTGTTAAACTTTTATATTGTTATTTTATCAAATTGTATTGAATTGTTATTTTTTGTTCCTTGCATTCATGCCGTATGCCGAATAAAACTTTTCATTTCATTTCACAAAAGTAGCTGGCAGGAGATCATTTTTATCCAACAAAAAAAAAATGGTCCATATCATTAGAACTTTATTCCGTATTATTAGACCATATGGAGCAATAGTCAATATGGCATAAAAGTAAAAATAATAAATAAATAAATAATGTTAATTTGGTGTAAAATTATGTCCAAGATGAAGAAGTTATGCTAGTTCAAAGATTCATCGTTTTCATACATTTATTGCTTTCTAAAGGTGCTAGGAAATGCAAAATAATGATCGATATTGCTAGAATTAAATAGCCGAAGCAATTGTGGTTATAAAGCGAAAGGTATCCATTGTTTTTTTTTTACTTTATATGACACCTCGTTCTGGGGGAAGAGGGAGGGAGCTGCAGATCGCTACTGACTAAAAACCACCTAGTCCCAACTCCTGCCGGGACCTCGGTACCTACATATATGATGATGTACCCTCGACCTTAAACTGCTTTCTAATTATCATTTAATGTTACGATTTCATCTTCTGGACCTTGTACGGGTAAACGTATGATCTAATACCGTTCAAAAGCAAAACCTATACAGGCTGTCCCTGAAGTCGACGATCAAATTGATCAAGGTTAATCGGTAAGGTCCCAACAGCTGTTTTTCAACAAAACTCCGTTCTGAACAATTTATTTGGGCTTACTAAAATTTATTCTGATGTACTCAAAGCGCACCTATAACCATCGTGTCCACTAGGTAACACTTTGCAGGCGACATGCCATCATCGAGGATTCAGGAGCAAAAGCGTAAGCAAAAGTACAGACAAAAAAATTAAAAAAAATTAGCAACTAGAGTCAAAAGACTGGCACATTGTGTACGTTGTCTTACATAAAAATAAATCATTGTAATTTAAAAACTATCTGACTAGGATTTTTTTAATATTTTTCTGATAGCTGTAAGAACCTTGCCGCTCACCTGGTACTTACCATTTGATCGTCGACTTCAGGGACACCCGTATACCATACAATAGACATGGTGTCTGACCAATGCCCTATTGTCCGTTATAATCGAGAATAGGTAACTAGTCGTCTACGAAACATTGAATCAATTACAATGTACCTACTTATGTAGCCTATACGTTTTTGACGCAATGTGGCTAGATTGAATACGGTCTCGTATATCTATTGCGAAAAGATCTTGTCCGGTCGTCTCTCAAACTTCTTCCACTGCGATATCTCCGGCAAGTTCTATTGTGAATGTATGTAGGTACATATATCCAGCATGCTTTAATTGAATTGATCTTCGGCAAGTTCAATTCTGGGTGGGCATCGATACATCGTATGTACGTCCTGCTTCCATTGATTGCAGAATATTATTAAACTAGCTACTTCCGCGCGGTTTCACTCGCTCTGCTCGGCGCCTATTAATCGTAGCGTGATATTTTATAGCCTTCCTCGATAAATGGGCTGTCCAACACATAAAGTTTTTTCAAATCGGACCAATAGTTTCGGAGATTAGCGCGTTCAAACAAACAAACAAAAAAACAAACTTCAGCTTTATAATATAAGTATAGATGAGAATTGAATTTCTATTGATGCACCAATCGTCCTACTGTACGTCATTCGCATCAATAGTCATTCAAGTTTATGTCCTACCAACTTTTTAATACCTACGTCTCTTACGTCTTATGAATCCCATGTAAGGAAATTGTTTATGATTTTTTTTTACCATTTACCCCCTCCACAGTCTCCCGAATCCCTGAATCCTCCACAATCCTCAAATTCCAAAAGGCCGGTAACGCACTTGTAACGCCTTGGTGTTTTGGGTGTCCATGGTCAGTGCCGATTGCTTAACATCAGGTGATCCGTCAGCTCGTTTACCGGCTTATGCTATAATAAATTTTTTTTATCAATATTTTAATTTTATTGATGACGGTCCTGGGCTCCTCGGTGGAGGTACCCCTCCAATGTGAATGATAGTAATGAGCGATGAAGGGGTCATAGCCCGCCCTGATATAGTACGATGAGCTTTTTTACTTTTGGTACCTACTTTAAGATACATTTTTTATAAACTGTTATTTTACGTATGATGAATGTCCTTTCGAGATATTATTTTCTATCCACTTTTTAATAAACTTAGGTACTACTATTTTATAAAGTCCTGGTCCTTCGGAACGAATGTAATGAATAGGGCACCATCGTTTTTAATCAACCATCAATTATATTTATGGTATTTTTTATGAGATTTTATTTTTGATTCTAAAATGAGAAAAGTAAATAAAATCACAACTTCAACGATTTGTATTCATGTTTATTTAGGTATGGTTTTTGTTTTCATCATCGATTATTTCCACTTATATAATTACTTAAGTTTTTTAAACAGTTACAATCTAAGTAACATCTAAAAGACTACTAAATTACACATTTACAAGTAACATTAACTGGGCTTCAATGTACAATAAATAAATTTTCATTTTCATTAACTTTTTGAACAACAATACATTTTAAATAAAAAAAATATACTTAAAGGAAAATCTGTATAATAGAAAAACGTCAAAAGAAATAAATAAATATTAGGCCATTTAGTATTTCGATACATAAAAATATAATCAGCTGTTTACATTAAACTTAGAATAAGTAACTAAATTAACGGAGGGAATGTAAGAGTTAGGGGAACACCCAGTTTTAATTTATTAATTACGATGTTTAATTACATTGAAAATAGTTTCTACATATTATTTTGAACAGCTACAGTATAGTTTAAATCTAACACCTAATATATTTACAAAGGAGTACAAGATTTGGGAATAATCCGCGAAATAATTTAGTTAATTCTAAATAAATTTAAAGCCAATTCTGTAATTGCGGCGATAATAAATTAGGGCATTTTACAATTGGGTACTAAACAGTGTATGCAGGTCTTAGAATACATGGATATTGGTCTTTTGGTACGCAAATGTAAAAAAAACCAATTACTATACCGCCGCACTAAAGATCTTGACTTGTATATGAATGGAATAACCAACTTGTTCACAATCATACATCTCACACAAACAATCAGACTTAATAAGCTGGTTGCATACTGTCGACTGAACTGTCAAACGTAATCTGAATTACTGAAGAACTGAAAAAATAAATTCTTTATAAAAATACACCTATAAAGCCTTCATGAAAACAGTTTTATCAAAAGCACGCAACCTTTTTTAAAGAAAATTAAATATTTGTTTTTTTTTTGTTTATTTTCTGTATTTTTAATGAACCAAAATGTTAAGTGAAAAGAAAATAGAAAACTTAAAACAAAATACGGTCTTGTTCTGTACTCATAGGTAGGCACGTAGGATTTTCACAATTTCGTGACATGCTTGCGATTATACGCACATGCAATTACGAGTCACTGATAAAATTATTCATCTCGATCGGTATGGCACAGGAAACTTAACTTACTGAAAACACAATTACTCTGAATGTCACACATAGCAATTAATTAAAATGCAATTAAATTTCATGTCGGATCTTCACAAATATTCAAGATCAATGTCTAAAAATATTAAATTCATAGTTTACAAATATTGAATTAATTATTTTATGTAAACATTTACTGATTTTATGTTTACCGAGGGACATAAATGTCAAAAACTTCATAATAAATGAAATTAACGTGTGAATCCAACTTGAGTATTGAGGCTTGGGTCAGGGAGACGTCGATTTGACATTTGATGCTTCAAAAATGTATCAAACATTTTTTCTTATTTGAACACAGATTCTACGAGTTTTTATAACATTTTACAATATAATTCTGTTTTATACAACAACATTCATAGTACCTACATATTTTTCAATATATTTTTGAACACACACATATTTTTTATTCACATCAAAATTGTAGACATAGTAAAACATTCTATCATTTGGAGAAAAATATAAATATATCTATTAGTTACATATCATTATTACGTGACAAAATATTATTTAGTAAATTTCTGGAATATAAGATTATTTTTATTCAATATACTATGTAAGGTATCTCTGATAATGTAGGATAAACATTTAAATATTTTAATGACTTTTATAATTATGATTTTGTGCGATAAACAAAAAATAGTGGTAGTAACGTCTGTCAAAGGTCATAGAGTATTGTCAAAGTTCATTTTGTGTAAACAAAATGTATGGTCCACGTACGAAACACAACATAGACACTACACAACCTTGGAAGCTCGATTCAAACCGTTCGATACAACTCTTTTATATTTACTACAAATACCAATATTGACTGATTCCTGATGAAACATTATTCTATGATTTAAATATTAATTTAAAATGTCATTGAGTATTTACACGATGGAAACTAATCTTAATATATCGAAGGATATAAGGTGGTTGAGTAGATATAGAATAAAGAAATGATATATTAATTTAACTAAAATCGGACGCACGCTGCTCTTGAGGAAGAACCCCTCTGTGGTTCGAAACTAGTAGAGCTTTTCTCATTATATTCACGTGAGTAATTCGTGATTTTAGTTAATTTAGTATGTCTCACGATAGTTATTATAAAAACAAATGATATATTATTAAATACATAGGTTATTATGTAGATATCGGATTTATCTAATAATTTAATCTAAGAATGACAGACAATTCTGATTTCTTATTAAAAAAAATAACAATATGAAAAATTAAATACAGAGTTTTATATAATCTAGGTAAAAAGACACTTGATTGATACAAAATAAAATTGACTGGTGCTTACTATTGTTAGGTTCGTGGTAGTACTTCTATTAACTACAGAATGATTTGATTGCAGTATTCGTGAGGTAATGAATAAATTAACATAGTTTGGGTGTATGGGAATAAAAGCTTGAAGGCGTTTGACGATCATCCAATACTATCTATGTTGCGTCGCAGTAGAAACACGTAGAGATGTATCCCACTGGCACCAGCGAGCCGGTGGTAATCGACCAATGTATGGTGAACGCGCTAACATCCATCTGACGTAACACTGTGTTGCTAACAAGAGGCGGGAAATGTCTTGAGTGCACTAGTATACGAATTCACTTTGAACCGATTTGTTTTTAAAGTTCAGTAGAATCGATTGTGTGACAGAGTTTGAGGGTTGAATACACCAATTTTACTACAGCTTCTGAATGGTAGATGCACTCGGGGCCAGCCGTTGTTATTATTAGCAGGTCACAGTATGGCGGAGTGCCGCTGGAGGGAGTGGCGGGTGCACTAACAGTCGGCCGTGTAGACTGGCGCCAGGTCCAGCGTGAGGTGTCGCAGCGCGCGGTCGCGGGACGCGGAGCGGGACGCGCGCGACGACTTGATGATCTGCAGGACCATCGCCTTGCAGTCGTGGCACACCGCCATCTGCACGCCTCGGAGACGTTCCGCCGCCGTCACGCCCGTCGTACTGCGACCGTACCTCGCTCTGGAAGTAAAACGTGGTTTTGTGAATAAGAGAGAGAGTGACTCAGAATCGGTTAAAGGGAGAACAAGGTTGGATTACTGGAAGTAGTATGAGTGTGAGGGTAAGTGATTGGGAGCATAATTGTGAGTTTGAGGATAAGATTGCGAGTATAAGCGTGAGATAGATAGTTTGATGGTGGAAATAGAGTGTGATAGTGGAATAGGGAGTGTGAAACAAGGACTAGGAGTGTGAAAGAAGGACTGGAAGTATGGAGGTGCGCTTGGGAGGGTGAGGGTAAGTCACTGGGAGAGCGAGGACGAGATTCCTCGCTTTCACCGAGTTGGATACGACGTCATACCTGCGGTCCAGCGTTGAAGGTGGAGTGTTGACGAGCGACATGGCCTGCGGGCCGTCGACGCTGCGCGACATGGCGTGCGGCGGCACGGACAGTTGGTCGGAGAAGCCGAGCGCGGAGCCGCCGCGCGAGCCGGGCGCGCTGTGTGCCGCCGCGCCCGCGCCGCCGCACGCCGCCGTCGTCGCGCGACGCGGCGCCGCCGGGCTACTCGGCGCACTGCCTACACTGTTCTCTACCATGCTCTGTAAAAAAAGGAGGTAATTTAAATTCTACTATATAAAAATAAGTCGCGTTTTCCTTCCTGACGCTATAACTCCAGAACGCACGAGCTATTTTCCACGGTTTTGCATTCGTTGGAAAGGTTTCGAGCTCCGTGAGGTTTATAGCAAAGAAAATTTAATAACCTAAAGAAATATAACATAAAACGAAGCCATCTAGTGGTGCAACGGAGTTCGCCGAGTTTGCTAGTATCTTCTAAATACCCCATTTTACAGTTGAATTGATTATTAACTCGTCGAGTACCGGTTTTATAGACACAATTAAAGAACAATAGGTCGCGGTCACCGGTGACCGCTTGGTGTTTGACAGTTTAAGAAACCTTAAAATAGCGTTACGAACGGATATTGTCGTTTGTATACCAGTATTAGGTACCGAAGAATATTTTGGGTAACTCGACAATATTAACGAACATAACTCCAAAAAGATGACAGTTGAGCTTTTGAAACTTCTGTAGCAACTAGATAACAAAACAGGCAATACACCCATAACATTATACAACAGACAACTAGACATTATTTAAGTACAATGGTACCATTACCATTACATAACCGAACAACAGACCATCATAAACCTAAGTATATCATAACGGAAGACACAAGCAATGCATCATACATACATAACATCACGCCTTTTATCCTCGAAGGGGTAGGCAGAGGTGCACATTACACCACTGTACAATGTAACACCCACTTTTCACTATTTATGTTATGAGTCCCATGTAATAGGGGGTGAGCCTATTGCCATATCCCGGGCACAGTTCCAGACTCCGTGCTACTACTGAGATTTTTTTTTAAAACCCAGTAATACTTTGCCCGACCCGGGAATCGAACCCGAGACCCCTTACCCGGCAGTCGCAATTGCGACCACTCGGCCAACGAGGCAGTCTGCGGCCACAATTTGCGGTACACCACGCATTACCACTCATCGCAGATCGAGTTACGGGAAACGTAATTTACGCGGCCATTGTGTCGGACGATTAAGTGTAACTACCTCATCTTCAAATTGGAGCTTGATGGAATAGAAAAATAACGAACGTGGCAGATATTTTCCTAATAATATATCATAACTTTAGTCCCTGAGGGATTAGGAAAAGGTAATCTATTAAAATGTAACACTTATTTTGAGAACTTTTTACAAAATCGACGGCTAAGTGGTAAATTAACTAAAAATCGCGGGTTACACACGTGAATATACTGAGAAAAGCTCTACTAGTTTACTGTACTAGTAGTAGGCTAAGGGTTACTTAAAATGTAAGATTAATGCCGGAATACTGAAACGTTACTCAATTTTAAGTCGTGCTTAAATATCGTGCCATCTCTGTCATTTTACAAAGAATTAGTAGAGACAGAACTATACTTAAGCGTGACTTAAAATTGAGTAGCGTTTCAGTATTCTGACATATGTTAGACAAATAGCAAAAGTAATGAATCGTGAAGGAACAAAACATTAATTATTATGTTTTCGGCTTGCTCATGTAACTGTTTGACTAGGAACTCGACTAGTTTTAAGCCATGCTAGTTTCAAGGCTCATATTTTCATATTAATTTAGTATGTCTCACAAAAGTTCGAATATAAACGTGACATTTACATAGACATAGATAGGTAGATCATTAGATTTTCTGATGACTTCAAATCAAACATCACAAACTCAAATAATCCTCCAAATAATCCTTACTAGTCCTTACTAATATTATAAATCGGAAAGTGAGTTTGTTTGTTCCGATTTCACGCCGTAACTACTAAACCGATTGCTTTGAATTTTTGCAGACGTAAAGTTAGAAGTCTGGTTTAAATAACAGGGTACTTTTTATCCCGGAAAAATTTGATATTCCCGAGGAAAAACAAAAGTATTGGTATAGATGGCGCTGTATGTATAGGTATGTGTCACATAGGCTACATTTTTTCCTTTTGTGACGCGAGCCAAGCCGCGGGTAAAAGCTAATTGTGTTATAAAAAATAACAAACTTACCGAGTACTCAGGAGAAACGAGCCTGGACATGAGACTCCTGGGGAACGAGGAATGCGCCTCGTCCTCCGGGGAGGGAAGTAATGAGGGGCTCAGCAGCACCACTGGTACGTGAGCGAAGTGCTCCGTTGGGATACGCATCTAAAATAAATAAATTAATCATAGATTAGTGATGGGCGTATAAAGAATGGGCAGAACAGAATTTCGGTTAAGTTAAAATAGAATATGAAGCCATGTGATTTGTTGGATAAATTAAGTTATTGTATTATCGATTTTGTGTGCCAGTCTTTTCCGTGTGAGAAGAGGCTTTGCTCAGCAGTGGGCATTTATAGGCTGTTGATGATGATGATGATGATGTGTCAGTCCTTTATTTTTTCAAATAAGTAGTCAAGAACTATTTAAGAAATCAATATGAAAAAGTCGAAACATCGAACTTTCGATAGGAAAGGAACACTGCTGGGAATAGGAGCTAATGTAGATAGGCGGTATCTAAGTAAGAAGTTTTGTTAACTCACCTTTGAACAGCACTTTTGACAGACAGTCTTTTTACAAAGTTTGCATTTCTGGCCCCAAGGACCAAAAATTCCGAATCTGGTCTTCAAACACAAGAAGCATACCTGGACAAGTAATAAAGAAATTATTAACAAATAAGTACTTTCACTATTTCAGAACGGAGAGAACGATAAATGGACTGTTATTGCGATTGACGAAATATTTATTGAATCTTTTCTCACTTAGGTTTAACTTTATTGACCAAAAACATAACATTACATCACGCCTTCTATCCCCGTAAAAGTAGGCAGAGGTGCACATTACGGCGCTTAATGCCACCATTTTCACTATTTATGTTATGAGTCCCATGTAATAGGGGGTGAGTCTATTGCCATATACCGGGGTACAATTCCAGTGTCCGTACAAATACATAGATTAAAAAAAATCCAGTAGTACTTTGCCCGACCCGAGAATCGAACCCGAGGCCCCTTGCCCGGCAGTCGCACTTGCGACCACTCAGCCAATGAGGCAGTGCATAATGTAGTACACCTCTGCCTACCCCTTTGGGGATAAAAGGCGTGATGTTATGTTATGTTTAATTTTTATCAAAAATTCTACTTACTCTTCTCTTTTCAACGTCTTCCTTGACCCTGCCTTCAACGGGCAGTACTTCCAGTTCAGCCTTCGTCAGCACAGACCTGATGTGAACAATCTCTTCCAGGGTCAGAGACAACCGGTCGTCAGACATTATGGCATCTTGCCACTGTTTCTGTAAAACAAGGAACCAGATTAAAATTACCCCGTCGGTCTTCAGAAGAATTATTTCTACAAAGTTTGGCTACTAATTGACGTTATTTTTGAACCTACACTACTTGTCTAAACTACTTTAATTCCAATTCTGACTGAAAAATTCGTGCATAGGTGTGCTATTTACAAATACTGCTAACATATTAGTAAGTGCATGCTTGATGTGCGACGAAATAGCTCTAATATAATGTACATCTTTGGAACTACTACTTAATACCACTAATTGTCAATAACCCCTCTTGTACTGTGTTTAAGAACTATACAATTTATTTGTTCTAAATTACTAAGTTGAACTATATAGGTACCATGATAATTCAAGTTTCTAGCCTAGGCAATTTTCCACACAGAAATAATATCCAACAAACGAATAATGGAATCAGAATTTTGACAAATAAGCAATGGAGGGTTAATATGAATTGTTACAATTTGTATACTGAATTATGAATACTTGATTACTGTAAGAAATCTATGAATAGTATTAACCCTCATTTGACAGTATAGAATATCTTAGCTTTTGAAGCAAATTCTTTTTCACTGGTGTATTTTGTTATTCAAGCACTTTGTTCAATAATACATCAGTTCTTTCTCCTGTTTGTTCTAAATTACTAAGTTGAACTATATAGGTACCATCATAATTCATAGTGCGTGCAAAAACTAATCAATCTACGCTACAAATAGTAATGTTGTCTGTCAAACTGCATCACTCCAGAGAACTTTTTTATACTTTACAAACCCATTCAAATCCTTAAGGTTGAAATTCGTCCACCACCATCTACACTACGTTCTACTCACATGCGAGCCATTGTTGGGGCTGCCACTAACCGACTTGATAAGCTCGTCCTGCAAACTAGACCGTGACCAGGATAACTCCCCGAGCTGTGCGTCTGCGTCGCTGCTCGCCAGGGATGCTGCGCCGGCGCATGATGCACGAGATCCCGGCCTGTGAGAAAAAAATAAGGTTGTAATTTAAGTTATAGTTAAAATGATTGGAACGTAATAGCCAAAATAAGAATTTAATTAAAATGTTAAACGCCATAGGGCCAACATATGGGCCACGCTAGCGAAAGGTTTGCCTTCACTAGTTTTCTGACATCAGTTAAAGTCTTAAAATGAATCAACATGCTTTAAAAGTTTACACAAATACAAATTGAAGTCAATAATGTCAATGGTTATTGGATTCTAAAAAATAATAGAGCTTTAAAACAACAGTGTTATGACCGAAACCCAGAAACATTGTATCTTGACCTGTTGACCAACGACCTGAAGTAGAAACTTTCTAGCACAGTGTTTTTTGTTAAATGCAACATGTACTCTTTTAACTTCATATTTTTTAATTCTTATATGTATATAAGGTCGTAATTTGAGTGAAGGTGTGAACGAAAGTTTGTAGTCATATTGATTAAAAGTTTTTCGAAGTACATTAGAATTCATTAATCATAACACAACTGCGGAAATGTCGGTGTTTTGTAAAACTATGTTTATCACTTCAAGGAACAAAAACTTTGGTAACTACCTACTGTTATGTAAAATAGATCATAATCATAAAGCCTCAAGGACCACATTTCAAAAAGAAACGAAGTTAGAAAGTTTAGCTAAAAGAATAATAATATTTCAAAGATTAACCTTGAATGCGGCAATGAGTGAGCTCCATCGATGGTGGTAGGGCAGACGGTGTGCGTGACGGTATGACGTCGCATTGACGCTCGCCGTGATGGGCACTGCGTCGCCAGATCATATGCTGCGGATAAGCACCACAATGTAATTTGAACCTTAGCGACATCAAAGATTGGACATTACTTCCTTGAAAGTTTTGAAGAAATTGTCGCAGTTTTACTATATCACATGTTGTTTGTTGAAGATCCGAAAATTAAGAACGAAAATAAAAATGTGCTGTTAATTAAAATTCATTTATTGAATGTCTAAACCAAGAGTAACATTGATATTATAATCATCATTGAATATTTAACAAGAGTAAATAAAAATCTGCTGACATCGGGAATTGAAACAAATATTTACATCAATTTAAAATAACACCAATAAATAACAACAATAGTAAAAGTGGTTACAAAATTAGTTTCAAACGTGTAGAAAAACAAAATGGAAAACCTGCCAAACAGTGAATTTAGTCGAGTTACGATGACGGACTTACGTGATCTAGATCTATCAGTCCTAAATGAGACTAATTTTGTACAGTCAACATCGAATCACTAATGAGACAACTAACACTGAATACATTAACGTTAATGGCAACAATAAAACATATGTTTATGAGCTAATAAATCTGATAAACAAAAGGGCACTTAAACTTTAAAAAGACGAAAATGGGCGTCAGATAATCGCAGTATTTGATTAGTTATCGTCCGCTGAACCACTGAACTGAAAAGACAATGAAAAGTGATTTTGCGAAGCAAACGAATAAATTGCAAAGGAAGTAAGCGTGGTTACGTTGACATGCGTTCAACATGCTGTCATACATTCGAGGGTCTGGTCGCAGAACTGGTGGTACTCGTCGTGGGAGATGCGCGTGCGCGGCGGCGCCCGTGGAGGCTCCTCTGCGTGACGTCACCAATTCATCAAATCAAAATCATTGCCAAGGTGTGCGTTTAGAAACGAGTGCTTGAGCCAATTTAAAACTCATTTAAGTAATTTTGGGACTCAATTTGGCACACTGACAGTTCAAAAATGTTCATTATGTTTCTTAAGTTAGAATTGAATTTTGCTTACCGGTCCTCTTCCAAGGTTTGGGGGTTTGTTGCTGTGGGGCTGTGTGCCTTGGGAAAGGTTGTGGTGCGCATACTTCAGGGCTTGTGCAAGTTTCTGTGTCATCCTCATCTTCATCGTCCTGGAAAGAAAATGAAAGGTTAGACTCATTGTTGTAGAAATGAAACAATGGGGGATGAAGTACAATACATTTTATATAGGGGATACAGATTTAAGTACGGTATTGTAAACACTGTTTTTTAATGGTCTTCCCAATATTCTGCGTAAACGAACCCGGATATTCGCTACGCTTCAAATCGTGACAAAAACAAACAAATAGATCGTCGACCGATCACGGATAACACAAAATGAGACAGTTAAAGGTAAAAACAAAACAACACAAGCATAACATTTTTGGCTTCCACTGACGCGTACACTAATTGGTTTTCAACTACCTACTTTGAAGAAAACAAGATTTGTTACAAATCAACAAGATTATTTAAACTGTCAAACACCAAGCGGTCACCGGTGACCGCGACCTATTGTTCTTTAATTGTGTCTATAAAACCGGTACTCGACGAGTTAAATTGAGTCAAGTAGGTAGGCAGGTACCTACCTCATTAGGTAGTAAAGCAACGTAAGTTTATGCAAAATAAACAACTAAATTGTAAGTAAAACTAGTTTGATAATTTTAACTCGCGGCTTTTATAACGTAGAAGTGTTTTCGCGAAACTTCTGTTTTTCAAACAGAAATATTTCCTATTTAACTCGTTCAGTACCGTCACTATTGACAATTAAAGAACAATGGGTTGCGGTCACCGGTGACCGCTCAGTGTTTGACAGTTTAATATATATTTCTATTCGTAAAGTCGTCTAAACATGACAAAAAAAGGAAATAGCTTCACTAGAGGACTGACCTACAGAGAGTCTGTAGTACAGACTGACATTTTTTTCTTATTGTTTAATATTTAAACATTTTGTTTTGACGTTCAAAAGTGCTTTCCTGGTCTAATTAAAATAAATGATTTTGATTTTGAGTTTGACTTTGACTTTAAAATTTACAATTCTGTAAAAAAATATAGAAACCATACGTTACGGAATAACAAGCACTATAGTCAGAATTTTAATTAGATTCCAGATTTGACAATAGCTACTGTCATTTTGTGAAATAATGATACCACATATAATAGTGTAGTGATGCACACAAAAATCGATAAACAATCAGTGTGTGTGTTTTATAATAAATATTACAGAAAGTGACAGGATAGCGATAGCGATGACGGCGACAATTTATAAAATAACTTATTACCATAATACATCTATCTGTTTTATTTGTCATGTTCCTTCATGATTACATTTTTTTATTTATTTCACACACAATTATAAAATATAAATTATCGGTTCAGAAATATTTAATTTCCTGATATACTTAGTTCACGAGAGTAAAATTATAATTATTATAAACGAGAAGAATCGATCCAGAAATATTGCATTTCCATATCGAATAATTTCGCAACGTCACTATTTAGTACTTATCATAACGATGCAACACTGAAATTGTCAAATCTGGAATCGAATTAAAATTCCGAGTATAGAATTGTCTAGACGTCATTATTCAAGTTTCTAGCCTAGGCAATTATCCACACAGAAAATAATATCCAACAAACGAATAATGGAGTCAGAATTTTGACAAATAAGCAATAGAGGGTTAATATGAATTGTTACAATTTCTATACTGAACTATGAATACTTGATTACTGTAAGAAGTCTATGAATAGTATTAACCCTCATTTGACCTTATAGAATATCTTATAAGCTTTAGTAGCAAATTTTCTTTCACTAGTGTATTTTGTTATTCAAGCACTTTGTTCAATAATACATCAGTTGTTTCTCCTGGGATGTGATTCTGAGGTCCAATATTTATAGCAATTTCTATTCATAACTAAAAACTTCGATGGAGTTAATTTTGAACCCTAATTCAGTTCATATTCTACTATTAAAGTTTTTAGGTTTTAGATACCTATGTAGACTAGTAGGGAATATAATCAAGGCATACCTGTTACATTGGTCCTTGTGTTTAAAACAACTTAACTTTTTATTAAAACCAAACTTATCAAATAAGCCTACATAATATTTTTTCCGTTTTTTTTCTTTATTTAAATAATTTTCTTGCTGTGTACCTGTTTTTGATGTATTTATAATTTTAATTTTGTCTTAGCTGTTACCTATTAAGTCAGTGTTCGTGTGAATCTGTAAGTGGCTCAATGTTACTATTTTTCAGCTAAGTCTATATAATGTAGCTGTTGATTCAACATTCAATAAATAAATAAATAAAGGCTCACTATCTACCCTACTCAATTTTTGATAGACTGATACCGATTATAATGAAACTTAATAGGCGATAATGAAACAAATTTGTTGATCTAGAGAATTATGACTTTTTCTCACAAACGGATGCATTTACGGTACCCCCTAACCAAGCATTCCCCGGGGCCTTCTTACTCTAATCAATGCGGAAGACGTTATGTCAACGGGATAAGGGTGGAAACGACGCCATTTATCGTCGACTTGATAACGGTGCGAATGACAGCTTAATGACATTCTGCCGCCCCCGGGCATCAAACAAGGACCGCCGGGATATTTTTCATTAAGCTGTTACTTTAGTGGAAGAGATAAGAGATTAATATGAACTTAAAACTACATCTTTCAACGTCAATTTTGTAATTAACTCGTCGAGTACCGGTTTTATAGACACAATTAAAGAACAATAGGTCGCGGTCACCGGTGACCGCTTGGTGTTTGACAGTTTAACTATCACAAATAAAAAAATCTGGGAATCTTTCCAAATATTATCTAGAAAATTAAAAAACCCAGTAGGCTTAACCCTTTGATTACCGTCATTATAGACACAATTAAAGAACAATAGGTTGCGGTCACCGGTGTCCTCGCGGTGTTTGACAGTTTAATAATGTGGTAAATATCTGAAAGAAGCCAACCAAAAACGAAATCACGTTACCCCATAAGACCATGGTCATCTATTTAATTACTAAATCACAAAACATACCCAGCCCATTTTCTGGAAAATTTCATAAAAATCTTTTAGAGATTAGTAGCTACTAGTATGTAGTACTACCCTTTTCCTAGAATTACTATCCCAGTCGACTTAGACCGATAACCAACATAGTTTATCTTGTAGCAGAAAAACACAACACATGAGAACAAGGTAATCCAAGCCGAGTATCAAATAGCGACATAATACGATACTAAACTTCACACGTATTTTATGTACCTCGTGAACTGATTCTAGGTTCAGATAGAAGGGACGTCACACAACAGTAGTTCATATTGTTCATAAGACAACAGAATACCTGTCGTAGAAGAAAGTGAACAATGTCAGAGATCATGCACCGCTGCATCTGATCCATTGTGTAACAAAAGTAACGTAACAGGTACAGAACCTGTTATTTTGTATCTTCACGTACTTTTATACTGAGAACTATATTTTACGGTAAGGGAAAGTTATTGAATGTCGGAACTTGGAACTGCATTGTGCTTGTATTGTAAACTTTATTGTAGAGTTAGCAGAATTCATTATTGTTAGTGCAATGCACAGAAGTACTGAGTTCGCTGCTGTCTGATTAACTCGTCGAGTACCGGTTTTATAGACACAATTAAAGAACAATAGGTCGCGGTCACCGGTGACCGCTTGGTGTTTGACAGTTTAATGGAATAAAGTTACTAACAAGCTGAAGGCGTTTCTGATGGAAGGTTATATTGAATGATACCAATTCCTTTGATATATCGTGCTAAGAATAAAGAGGAAAAATGTAATATCTGTCACAAAGGTAAAGGGCGAAGGTAAGACAGGTGTCTCACTTCAAAAACAAAGGCTAACTTTGTAGTCATCTTTGAAAGGAATCCTTCATTTTCATAAATAATATATCTACATAACTCAACCGTTCCATATTGCAGAGAAAAAACTCATTCCACAAGAATAACGATGTTAAAAATAACCTTACTCCCATTACGAGGAGGGTAAGGTCAGGTCTGTAAAGTAATCTTTGTTACCCTTGACATTCAAATTGACTAATGAAGGGTAAAATTAGAATGCATTTTTCTTTAAAAATTATTATGGTCAACTTGACTATAGGTAAGAGGATCACGTTATAGTTAAACTGGGTATTTTCCTATAGAACAGGGATGGTCATCCGGTCGATTAGTCCAGTCGAACGTAGCATGGCAAAAAAAATATAAATGAACAAACCAGATTGCTCAACGTAATTCCCAACTACTACAGCATCATCAGCATGTGTCGTGGTGGCTCGGAGGTTTAAAACGCCTGCTTCTCATGCATGAGGGTGCGGGAAACCGACCAACGGCAAGTACCAATGTGACTTTTTCCGAGTAATATAGTATGTACTTTCTAAGATTATTTAGACACCACTGACAAACGGTGAAGGAAAAACATTGTGAGGAAACCTGGGCTTATAATTTCTAATTATAAGTTTGAAATTGTCAACCCGCATTGAGCAAGCGTGGTGATTAATGCTCTGCTCTGCTTGATGACGACAGCATCATCTTGTGTACTAAACATTATGCTGTTTCTTACAAAATTTCAAGAAGTATGTAAGTGGTAGATCGCACAGGGTTTTGTTAGTAAAAGTAGGCCTTATGTCTGATCAAGTTGGCTACCCCTGCTATATAGGATCCCATATATTAATATATGACTGCAAGCTTTGATTACGTACTCTTAATAACAGTTTCACATATTTCAACATACACTCCAACTAATATCCCTCAATCTAATTTGCAATCTCTAAACAAATGAATTAGATATTCACATATCACATAATACACTAATACCAATATAATAGTCGAAATACATGCAATGCCTAGTTCAACTACAGAAGCTAAAATCATATACCTATGAAAAGATTGTAGCCAAAATAAAACAAAAAAAAAACAATAACTAAAAAACCTCCTGTCCAGGTCCACTGTAATACATAAATCCAGTTTCACGAAGAGCCTAATGAATTGGGACGCTGCCAAAGTTCGTTGTATCAAACGCAGATTCCATTTAAAAAAGGGATCAGTGTAATAACTGTGGACATTCGCAAATAATTTAAGTAATCCTATTTTATCCAAATCCCGGATTAAAACATAATTTTTCCATTTTTTATATTTGTATATTGCTTTTCTTAGCTGATTATTGTGGTAGGATTTATGTCGGATATATTTTATGTTAAGTAATAGACTCTTGATAGACGCGAAGTAAAGCACACGGTAATGGTTTACTTATTTTTCTTAGAAACTGACGTCATAGGTTTTAGAATTCTGACATTATCATTGGAAAAGTTCACTGAACGATTGGTGCGGTGGCTGCCGGCTGGGCAACTAGCTATGCAGTTCGATTACCGCACGGAACAAATGTTTGTTTGATCCACAGATTGTTGTTTCGGGTCTGGGTGTCATGTGTATGTGAAATTGTATGTTTAAAAAAGCAGATACGACAGAGGAGAAAATATGAGTGTGGGGCAACTAAAGAAAAAGTTATGGTTTGTTACCCAACTTACGTGCCTTTGACTTATTACCATTCATACTTCTATTTTAATCTGTTATCTGTCAATATGATAGTTTGCTACATTTAACCTCTTGACTGTCGACACATAGGTAGTGTCTCATGTATGTCTACGTTCCGACACCCCACAGGTTAAACTTGTATTGAAATGAAACTCAACTATTCACCTATAAACTGTAATTAGTAAACTAAGCCACCAATCAAGCATAAAACATCTATCATTCAAAACTTATGACAAACTGATCTAAAATTCAAAAGCGACGTTAAGTCCATTGAAAGCATATTTCTGAGCTATGCAAATAGTGGATTTAAATCCTTAACTTTAAGGTCGAAAGTCCTGTTGCTTACGGAACTGGGGCACGGAAGCCTTGCGAGACTAGTTTGCACAAGTGTACACGTTTTAAGGATAGGTACCTATGTAGTATAGTACAGTTAGATGGTAATTAACGCCAGCCAGTCGGATGTATGTAAAAAACGTACTTACCTATAGGTTATGAAACGTGAAGTTGCTTAGTCTATTTCGACATTAGTGTGGGAATAGGGAGGCATTGGTTTAGAAGCTCAACTTGTTACAGACGATTGTGGTCATCTGAATCTTATGACTTGACATTTTTGTTACTTTATGGTTTCTATCTAGAATGATCTATTTCGAGACTTATCGTAAAATTCTCTGTGTTGCCTTAATAGACAAGTGCAATTCTATTTCTGTAAAATTAACCATATCTTCGATAATCGTAGGTGTGACGTATACTTATCCAGATCAAAAAGCATTTTACAAAAGTAAAGCTCTTATAAATCAAACATTCATATTTTAAGGGCGCGAAATAACCTTCGCATATACGCAACTTAGGTACCTGTCTTTCTGTTAGTAATTTTGTTAAAAACGTTTCAAAAGTTCAAAACCCATAATTCAATGAAGAAGAAACCACATAAAATTCCATTATTATTGCTCTTTTACGTATTTTCCATTGCGTGACTGAGTCGTGAGTGCCTATACGCTTTTTATCATGCGCGTTAACACGTAAAGCTGTCGGCAGCGTAAGAATCGAAGTTGCAACAGCTTGCGTTAAGCGTAAAGTGCGCATTGTTCGAAGAGCGTGTTATCAAGATCGAATGCAAAGTATGAAAGGAACCTTTTTGTTTAGAATGCGAGTTACAATTCTTTTGTGGGTACAATGTTAGCCTGCGGTTAGTATTGCAAAAAAGGTCTATAAGAGTATCCAAGGTTTTCCATGCCCACATTCATCAATATTGATCTAGCTGTTTAAACTATTAACGCGAGAAAGCGTCACAAACAAACAAACAAGCACGTAAAGTTTTAGCGTGGGTGTAACACTGAAACTGAAGTATCTACCTACCTGCCGTAATTCAAGTTTCCATTTACATCTGCCGGAATCTAATTGAGCCTCAGTAACGCCCACAATCTAATTACACGAGAAAAAATGTAGGAGAGCAAAAATCCTGCTACATAAGATATTTAAATAAAAAGCCGTCACGTTCTTATGGGTGCTATGGGATTTATAAACTCAATATATGGTTTCACCTGCGACCCAAGTATACGACTTCAGCCTAAGTGGCCATTCGGAGCGTTTTATTGATTACATTCCTTTTGTTCCTTTGTTACAGCGTGCAAAGGTAAGTGTGTGAAGAATATGATTAACTTTTTTAGAAGAAAAAATGTATTATTTAGATTGCTTTATCTTCTACTAGCTTCTGCCCGCGACTTCGTACGCGTAATCCCATTTTTTCTGTCCCCGTTCGTGATTTTCGGTAAAAAGTAAAAAAAAAACTTGGTTAAAAAGTATCCTATGTCGGTCTCCTGGCTCTAAGCTACCTCCCTACCAATTTTGAGCCAAATCTATTCTGCCGTTCTCGAGTTATAAATGGTGTAACTAACACGACTTTCTTTTATAAATATAGATTACGTGTTATATTTCGATATTGTTTAAACCTTGCTCCACACTAGGATTTTCTCCTGTGTCACGACGTCGCGTGACACCCAGACCCGCAACAAGAAGGAATATATGGATCACACAGAGTTGTTCCGTGCGGGAATCGAATGCCACCCCGCCAACCGTGCAGTCAATTACTTTGTATATGCGTACTAACAATTTAAATTCCCAATTAAATAAGGGATCTACATACCTTTACCTGTGTAGGCACAAAATGAAAACATTATCTATTTACAATTTCATTATGCCTTCACAAACGTTTATGTTTGTTCTCATAATTAGTGAACACAATAATTAATTTGGATGCCGTCGAGTTTCGAGCGTTTGTTGTCACAATAGTGACTGTAATTCAAAGAGAGACAAAACTCATTTCACGCTTCAATGAATATCACCTCATATAATATACAACTTATACATACCTACATTAAAATATCTACTATAGTCTCGAGATACAGAACTAGTCATCTATCAAAGAAAAGGTTGGTAACGTTTTGATTGTTTTTTTTTTTGCTAAATTACGTGTCGTGTCACTGGCCAGAAAGAACCTTCAACTTTTTGCTCTAAAATTGTCCAGAATTCTTTTTTTAATTTTACGGTTATTATGGTCCTCGATGATTGCGGAGCTAGGACGTCTGATTCGTTTAAATTCGACTGTGAATAAAATTGAATTATTTAATTGATGTGATACGTAATTGGCGTGAAATCGGTCCAATTTATCTGTCAATTCGGAAACGAATTGGGTCGGTTTAAAGTTTAAATTTTAAAGCCGGTCTAGAAATAATGCTGAGTGAAGCTCAACCGGTGATGCTGTTATTCTGAATAAGTTAAGAGCATTTATTTTGATTGTAAGTTTAAATCTTCATGAGATGACACGAGAGACCAGACTGGCTTAAAAAATAGGAAAACATTGAAGAATTATCTTTTAACTTATTACTCACAAAAATGTGGTATTAAATATAAGTAACCCAAAAAACTAAAGAAATGACATTTACTAAGATATGGTGCTTAAAGCTCTTAAACCACAGTTTGCAGCAAAATGTTCCTTAACATTTTATCTGCGCGCTGACCCGAGCCTAGGGTTGTTATAACATAATCTAGATATCAGGAATTATGCCGTGTGGCATAGTGCCAAGAGAGCCAACACTATCGCGCTGTATTCCGAGGGTAGTTTGAGGAGACTCTTGTTCCCTTTACGATGCTTTTTTATGGAACAGCTCTTTAGACGCAGGGCTACGTACACTGCTTTGATTTGTACTTGTAAAGGTCTGTGTTTATAAGACAATTTATCAAAAATATTGGTGTTCTGATGGGATGAAATTACTGCCAGAATGTAACCTTTTAAAAAACTATTCTCTTAATATCTCAATATGACGTTATCTGAGGATGTAGGTCAAAAATGTTTGTCTTCGAAGTCGATCCGTGCCGTTTTGTGGAAATAAACTACCTACTATAAAAATACATGCATATGTTATGTATGAATATTTGTCATTCTTTCGTCCGAATACTGAAAGACGTCTGACGACTTAAATATCGTGCCATCTCTGTCATTTTACAAAGAATTTGTAGAGACAGAACTATAAGTACTTAAGCGCGATTTAAAATTGAGTAGCCTTTTTCTTTTATGGCATAAGCCGGTAAACGAGTAGACGGATCACCTGGTGGTAAGCAATCGGCGTCGCCCATGGACACGCGGAACATCAGAGGCGTTACAAGTGCGTTACCGGCCTTTTGGGGATTAGGAGTTTGAGGATCGTTGGGAATTCAGGTATTCGGGAGATTAGGGAAGGGGAGGGTAATTGGGCCTCCGGTAACCTCACTCACACGACGAAACATAACCCAAGCGCTGCTTCACGTCGGTTTTCTATGAGGCCGTGGTGTCACTCCGGTCGAGTCGGCCCATTCGTGCCGAAGCATGGCTCTCCCACACTTTAAATTAGCCTATCAGTATTTGGACGTTTAACATATATAAAATTCCGCCAGATCCGAAAGTCCGCATAACATTAACTATTCGCTTAGAACAGACATGTCATTATAGCGATAAAGTTTAAAATTACCTCAAGATTATCAAAGTCCACTTTGATAAGTCGCCTCTGGGGTTGCGCGTGCGGCGTGACGTCACCGCCTCGCCTTGAGTCGCCCCCGCCTGGACCACTACCGGCTCCACTTGTCGCTGAAACAATGAAAATAAACGTTGTTATAACATAGCATAAGGTATTTTATTCCTTGATTAGTGGGTCCATTATGCAAGACTCTTTGCTATTAAGAATTTTAGCAAACTGAATATATCAGTAATATGTAAATAGACAATCGAAAGAGCAACCAATAGGTGCTCAGGAGTTACGCTCGTCCTCGAACAAAACGGCACATGATTAAATTACCTAAAAAGCTAATAATTTAAAAGCTGAAAGGGTCCCTTAGCACATGAATTAGTCTATTTGATTACCAAAGCCTTCCTTCATCGAGTACCACTTACTAGAGGTAAGGAACATCAATGTCTTTCGTTACACGTAATTTAACGCAATTTGGAAGAAGTATAGACTCTTAACTTAGAAGCAAGAAGGTAAAATACCTAATTCGTTTTGTTACCATGCACCTATAAAGAATGAGTCAAGACACTCACACAGTAACTTACTAATTTAATCTATAAGTACTAGCGACCCGCTCCAGCTTCGCACGGATGCAATATGCATGTATTATACATATAAACTTTCCTTAACAATGACTCTATTTATTAAAAGAAACCGCATCAAAATCCGTTGCATAGTTTTAAAGATTTAAGCATACATAGGGACAGACAGACGGCGGATAGCGACTTTGTTTTATACTATGTAGTGATATATACCTCTAAAATGTATCCCTTTTTCCCTTGGTCACTGCATCACGCGTGGCTAGACCGATTTCACTAATTCATTTTTGTTTAATTTGTTATTATTAGGAGAAAGTATATGGCAATAGGCTCACCCCCTATTAAATGGTATTCATAACATAAATATTGGAAAGTGGGTGTTACTTCTGTGTGCACCTCTGCCTACCTCTTCGGGGATAATAGGCGTGATGTTATGTTATGTATTAGGAGAAAGTTCTTAACACAGAAAAAATTATGAAAATAATACGGTAACGGGAGAAAACGGGATTGCGCGGGCAGAAGCTTCTGCATCTGTAGATGCTCTTGTGATCAAATCGAGGGCAGGTCAACTAGTCTCAAGTCTAACCGGGACACATACCTATTCTCTATTAGTTCACGTAAGTTTCAATTAAACGTGAATTTTCTTACTAACATATTATCCCCATCAACATCTTACTCCTATATAAATATTCAATTTGACAATCTCAAAAATAAATAAATAGCTATCCAAGGGTGGAATTCTTAGCAGCTAAGCAAGCGTAGGATTACTTTCATATCGAGGTAATCCTGGCGGCTCTAAACGTAATTTCGAAAGCTTAGGGATGAAAAGGACATATAAAAATGGCGCCTGACAGGTTAATAGATACCTAGGTTTGTTGAGTATATGTAGGGATTGATAGAAAACGTGTTGCTATCTCGGTTTGTAAGGGATGTTATATTTGCATGAGCAGTGAAATGGGAATCAAATGAAAAATCAGGAGATTCGAAGTGTATCTGGATTGGAATCTATCACATTACATATACTAGTAAAGTGATACTGTTATATATATTCCGTCTAAAGTTGGCTTTTGATAAAATCCAGCCAACTACATAGTTGTTGAAACAACCTCGTAAAAGTCTTTAAATAACTTAACATACAACACAACTTACACGTACAAAATATTTATTTACATAGCAAATGGATTAAACAAATTCGATACGAAATATCCGTAAACACGCTTCGCTACACCTACCACAACAAATCTTACGATAATTTGTTTAATCAACCCGCAAACGCGCGCGTTTACGTAACATAACCCAGTTAAATAACGACCCTTTATTGGCGAAACGAAAAAATGTTCATAAACGTAAAGCGACTGTGAAATATGGCAATATAAGTTTATGGTTCAAGGTCGGATTTAAGTAACTCAATTAAAATGTAAATAATGTTCTTGAATTAATTTTTGGTGATAAGAATAGGAAGTGTTTCATTATGTTGCGAAGTATAACATATAGATGATTCTAGATTCATAAAATTAAGCAAATGGTTGCTTTTCGTAAAACACATAGATCTACTTACATCAGTCATACTAATATAATAACGCTGATTTTTTTTTAAGGGGGGACAATCATCGAATTATTTCTCCTGCGTGGGTGAGACGGGATTGCGGGTGTCAGATTCTTATTGACTAAAAACCACCCCGTTCCTTCTCCTGCACTTCGAGCCGGAGCCCCGGTAACTCGTTAGGTTCTCCGCGGCTCCGTATCGGCATTAGCCCTATTGGGCCCTATCCGTGGTGGTCTGATGGCTCCTTGAGGCGCGCGCGGAACGCGACGCGCCATATACTCGGGTCTGGTTCTGGTCGGGCGGGGAGCCACGCTCGCCGTCCGCAGTCTCGCGCAATAACGCTGAATAGTTTGTTTATTTGGACACGGTAATCTCCGCAACTACTGGTTCGAATTGAATACAAAGTTTATTTTTGGGTTAGATAGTCTATTTATTGATGAAGACTGTAAACATCACACTACTATCTACGATAGAAGAAATTTTCAATCAATTGACGGTAAAGTGAAGATAGAACATGACCTGCATGAAGCCGGAACTGGGGTAGGCTGGTATTAAGTAGTATAAGTATACCCAACACGCGGTCCATACGACCCGTTCGTGTTTAAGGGTTGTGTAACCGTCACAGCTGCGATTTATTTCTGCGTGTTACACCGAATAAAAAGCCAGCCGTGAGAATGTTGAACATTCACCACCACTGCCACAGGTCATAACGCCTTTATTATTATAGTAAAAGGGACTATTTTTGCAAGTAGCAAGTGATATTCTGTAAACAGTTGTTAGTTGTGATTGTTGCAGGCAACTTAGTTCATGCTAGAGAAGGGAGGTGTTTATAATTTATTGTATGTAGAGCCATGTACAAACATGGACGTACAGATATAAGATAAAATGCATGGATCCTATACTAAGAACTGGGAAAATAAGTCGTAGTACATGTAGTTGTTTATTTAAAGCCGTGGTAGGTGGTAGCCGATACGTAGATCTAAATGAGACACAATGTACCCAAGAACTTGAGAATTTCTAATTGAAACCAATTACATAGACTAGATGAAGATGTGAATGTCATCATTAATCTTGGCACCTATCCATTAGAAATTGACGTCTTTGTAAACACTATTACCTTCCCATCTCAATCAAGTACGCAACATTAGCACACCTCGAACTAAATGAATTGTCGTAATCACTTCTCACGAGGAACGAACTTCATAATTCACTATAATGTTATGTTAGGTTAATTTACGAGAAATTTTGTGTGAAAGATGTATTAAACATAATTGAAAATATTCATTTCGTAAGTAACTCTCGTAATTTAACTAAAAGATTACTATTTTTTGATAGCATTGTTAATCACATTATTTCGCATTCGTCGTATTGCACTGCAATACTTAACTTAAGGCTTAACTGCAACTTCAAATTAACGAAAAACAAAATGGCGGAAGCATTTTGATTGGTAGACTCTGCAGTGGGTATTTTGTAGCAATTCATTGGTAAGTAAATAAAGGTATTTAACAAATGGCCGGTTGCGGAAATATCGGAAGTTAATATTGCATTGCATACAGAATATTATTACCTATCGTTCAGCACTTTGATGAAACTACTGCATTGAAATAACATAACATAACATCACGCCTTTTATCCCCGAAGAGGTAGATAGAGGTGCACTAATGTGCACCTCTATCTACAATGTAACACCCACTTTTCACTATTTCTGTTATGAGTCCCATGTAATAGGTGGTTAGCCTATTGCCATATACCGGGCACAATTCCAGACTCCGTGCTACGACTGTCAATTTTTTTTAAAACTCAAGAATCCCCAATACTAAAACAAATGTCCTCAAATTAAATCTCAACAACATGCAATTTATACATGAAACATTCTTTAATATCACTCAGAAACTTCACTTAACAACGTAACTAATAATAAAAATAAAAACAAAGAGTTGAAAATAGTTAGTTTCGCCCCACTGCGCGTCTAACGACGTGTAGGATTGGTTTATTTATATGTCTATGCTACGTAATTAGTGCTTGATGTACGTACGAATTGTAATTCACTTTCACCGTAGTGTATATGAACTGGCCCATAGAGGATAAATATCGCACAGGTACCTATTTTATACAGAAAAATGAGTTTTCGATTTTTCGTCTCACATAGAGTAAATCTTAGGAAATTAACTGAGGTACCTACACTAGGCATCAATCTAGATTTTCAATTTTCATTGTGAACTTGCAATACTAAAGGTTTTGTTCATATAGGTAAACAGAAATCACTTAATAAAAGTTTTCTCAATTGTTTTTCTATCGATATTACGATTTCAATGAAACCGATGTAGTAATAAAGTATCTATCACGAAGTGGAGCGATAAGAACAATTAAATAGATATAAGGTTTTTCCACGAACTACCGATAAAAACATTAATTAACTATTATGCTTCTATAGTTAAAATAAATATATGGTACGGTGATAAATTTGAGGGCAAAATAACGGCAAACATTGATTGATGGCAACTTAAAGTTGATTGCGCAAATTGGTATGCCTTGTTCACACTATGTTAATATTTTAGTCGAGTGAAAAGTATTTAGTAGCCTTCTCTCGCTCCTGTCCCAAAATGGAAGCGAGAGAGAACTATAAAACTCGTTACTCGGCTAAAATACTAGCGCAGTGTGAACAAGGCTTTTTTTTTAAGGGGGGAAAATCATCGAATGACTGTTCCCGCCTGGGTGAGGCGGAAGGGAGTGTCAGACTCTTACTGACTAAAAACCACCCCGTTCCTTCTCCTGCACGTCGAGCCGGAGCCCCGGTTACCCGTTAGGTTCTCCGCGACTCCGAATCGGCATCGGCCCTATTGGGGACTGTGGTGGTCTGATGGCCTGAACGCGACGCGCCGTACTGAACAAGGCTTTACGCTAGTATTATAGTCAAGTGGCGAGTATCCTACTAATATTATAAATGCGAAAGTTTGTTTTGTTTGCGTGCTACTCCTTCAAGTCAAAATGGCTGAAG